TATTTCTCCTTTTGCACACACAAGTAATAACAACAATATTAGCGAATCCATATAGATAAAACAATGAAAATTTGTTGAGCTGAATGACTGAATGTTACCAATTTCCTGGTTAAGTCATTAGAGAGGTAGATACTCTGCTAGATTGTCATTCCATCTAAAATTACAGGGTCTGCCAAAATGAAATATACAAGAGGCAGTGAGACTGTAGCTGTTTATCTGAAACCCTTATGGAAGCTTATGGAGGTAAACAGAAATTTAACCTAGAGGAACTGCTTTGTAAATGAGGAATTTAAGTGAGCTTCAGCTCTTCAGCTAATCGCAGGCATCCAACAAGCTGACTGACAACGTGGGCTCTTCCCTGGATCATACCCAGGTAAGGCAAACACTTAGGAGTGGCCAATCCATTCATTTGCTCCAGTGCTTTGTATAGAAGAGCTTTGTGTTCCAGCTGCTGTAGTGATGCCTATAACCTCTTTTCAGTTTTGTTGACTACAGATTTATGGATGATTCTTTGCTCAAATAAACTCTGTTAAATTTTATTTTGTCTCATAATTTTAACAGACCTATAAGTGATCTGGAGATTATGCTGGCATTATTACTAACAATGATGACCCCAGTTTTCTGCCTGGTTGTTTTGTTTCAAAAGAATGATGCTTACAAAAATATTTGCTAAGCAACAGTGGCAAACTAAAAAATCTGTAGTTGAAGCATTCACGTGTGGCTGTACTATAAATACAGTATTTTCTGCCAGTTATTACAGTGCTTTCATATATTCTTACACCAAAATATTACAAAAGGGAAAGTATGATTAATTAAGGGTGTTACAGCTGAGAATTACATTCAAAAATATAAGATGAAAAAGATTTCTTATAATAGTTAAACTGAACATTAAAATCATTTCATTAGCAGTATCAAACAATATGCTCTCACTAAAAACAATTTATTATTCAAAGTACTAATTAAGCTAAATGTGATATATAAAAGTTGTGCTTAGAAAAAAACATCAGTTTCATACAATTAACTTCAGACTAACACTGCAATTAGTAAAGAAAAAATGCAGATGTTACCACATTTTGTAGTGTTATTACGTGGGAGTTGAAATACGTGTTGTGCCTCTTTCTTGCTTTAGAAAATAATTCCTGGTCTTAAATGATTTTGATGGGAGGCGTGAGTATAGTAAAAAAGGAAATTGCTTTCATATTTAAAGAGCTACATAGAGCTTTTAGAGAACTGAGGTATTTTGTTTTTAATCTGTAAGGACTAACAGTTTAAAAGTTAACTACCATAGCTTTTAAAAAATTAATATACCATAATGAAAGTAATTTCAAATTATTTTTCTGAAGGATTAGAACCAGTGAAGAAGTGAGAAACAGTGTCAGTTCTGTGACACCAGAGATGGTCCAACTCTGTGTAGTAGATCACCCGGAGGAGCTGAGTGAAGAACAACTTCAAAGTGCAATTGTCACTCAAGCCTGGTTGAGTGTGCTGTGAAGACATTTTGTGCGATTAACATTTTACCCTTCTTATCCCCATTACAGTTACTGTATAGGAGCATGAATACATAATTGGTAAAACATTCAAGTTTTGTTTTCCAAATACTCTCTTCTGTTTTATCTCTAAATCCTACCCATTTAGAAAATTCTTGATCAAAGTAAAAATTTATTTATGATTCCACCCAGGATAATATACTTTGTTTTTATTCTAGTCATAGAGTGGATATCGCAGAGGTTATTTTCAAGTCAAACAACTTCAAAATTTCTTGAGAATATTTCAAATTGTAGCTTTCAGGGTACAATGGGCAATAGAAGTTTGAATTCTGGTTGTTCATCTGTATTTTCTTCTAGTTAAAGTAAGGAGAATAATGAGGTTTTATGGATGAAAAACTGAAAATGATACTTCTGGTAGAATTTTAAAGTTATAAATGGCTTCATTAGACCCTGCAGGGACGGAGGTACAATTTTGAGTGTGTACATGACAGGGAAGAAACGTTGTTTGTTGAGCTGCTCTTGCTTTTCTTGCCTTAAAATCTGTCTTTTCTGCTAGGATACAGAAGTGTGACAAAAAAGGTGGATTTTGGGATATATTTTATAGCTAGGATAATGGAAAATGACTGTCTATTTCCTTCTCAGCTCTTGGGAAGCAGGAG